AAAGAAAGAAAGAAAGAAAGAAAGAAAGAAAGAAAGAAAGAAAGAAAGAAAGAAAGAAAGGAAGGAAGGAAGGAAGGAAGGAAGGAAGAAAGAAAAGAATGAGCAATAAATTTACACTAAATATTAGCAAAAATCCCAAGAAGCTGCAGCAATAAACCTACCCAGACATTTCCTAAAGAAGATTTATGACTTGGGCAAAAGTCATGAAAACAAAAGAAAATGTTTTACATCACTGGTTACTAAGGTAGTACAAACCAAAATCACAGTGAGGTAATAATTCCTCTTATCAAAAAGACAGAAAAGAACTGACTCTGGTAAGGAAGTAGAGAATTCTTGCATGTCATTGTTAAGGATGTAAATTAGTAACTCCATCCTGGAAAACTGATGATTTCTTAAAAGCAATCTCACTGGTATGTATATATCTAAAAGAAATGCAATCTGATTTGATGAAGAAACATCTTTTCCACATTCAGTTCAGCACTGTTCACATTAATCTTGAGATTCAGCAGAGAAAAATCCACCATTTTGGGCCAAATTGGAAGCAAACTGTATTAAATATTAAATACCAACCAACAGATAGGCTTTAATCAGTGCCACTGCCCAGAATTTCCCTAGTGGCCCGAGACACGTGTTGCAGGCATTTTATACTGACAAAACCAATAGGCCACCATACTTTCCCATGAGGCATTGTTATTTTCGAAGAACTACAACTCCCAGCATTCCAGGAAGTTACCTGGTGAGGCTTACAGGTTAATTTCGGGTATTACAACAATAACCCTTAAGTAGACACAGTCAAATGTATGTCTATCACAAATAGACAAAGAAAATGTGGACTATATGCACAATGGAATGTTCCTCGGCTATCCAAATCATGAAATCCTGTCATTTGCAATAACCAAAAATAAAATAAAAGATTTAAAGGCTAGCAATGTAGCTCCGCAGTAGAATGTGTGTCTTCTATTTACAGAGTCCTGAATTCCATCCCCAGCACTACAGAAAAAGCAAACACTGGAGCTGTTAAGATTGCTCTGGTGGTTAGGGACACTTGCAGCTGTTACAGAGGAGCTAGATTCAGCTTCCAATACCCACCAGTATCAGGCGGCTCAGCTCCAGGAAATTTGATATCCTCTTATGAACTCTGTGGACATGAACCTGCACACATGTGCTGCACATAAACACACACGAGCACACATATATACACATAATAGATAAATAGATGGTTATAAGATAGATAGATAGATAGATAGATAGATAGATAGATAGATCAGATATATTTTAAGTTGATCAGCCAGGTATGGTGGTACATCTTTAATCCAGCATTTCGGAGGCAGAGGCAGGTGGATCGCTGAGTTGTCTCAGAAAAGAAAAGAGAAAAGAAAAACAAACAAAACCCACACTCATCAAATAAAATTCTATAGTGCCTAGTGTGCATTAGGTGCAGGATTTGATCCTCAACACTAAAATAATTATTTAGGTCCATGCAACTTTGTTTTAGCTCTTTTTTTTTTTTTTTTTAGCAAAACGGTTACAGTGGCTTTCTCAGGATATGCCTTACCATTATTTGACATGTGTAGGATGGTCATTTCTAAAGCTGAATCACTGTACTCAGCTAGTAAAGAAACATTGTAGCACAAATGTGTCTCCCAAACATGTATCAAAGAGTTTCCTTAGGATTAACAAGGCTGGATACAAAATCACTGATGTACGCAGCTAGTAAAGAAACACTGTAGCACAAACATGTATCTCATACACATGTATCAAAGGATCCCTTAGGATTAACAAGGCTGGATACAAAATTGCTCCTTAGGAAGATAACAATTTATCCTTATTTGGTGATGATAGTACCCCATACTTAAAAGACTGTAAAGACCTCACCAGAAAATTCTTACATCTGATAAACACTTGCAACGAAGTTTCAGGCCACAAACTCAATAAGCTAAAGCTAGTAGATTTTGGAGCACCAAAAACCTAAGCATGGCAAATGGAGTTTAGTGGACCTTGCAACTCACTTGCACCTTGAAGGAGGCAGAGATAGGGGAATCCTAGAGCAAGCTGGTCAGCTAGATTAGCCATGTTAAGGAGCTCTGGGTTCAATAAGAGACCCTGCCTCAATATACAAGCAAGAGAAGAAGACACCCAACATCAAGGTCAGGCCCCCAAGTGAATGTGAACATACATGCACTTTTACATACACTTGGGTACACACAGATCATACCCAAAAGACAGAGAGAGAGCTTTTTTATTTTTGGTTTTTTGAGACAGGGTGTCTCTGTGTAGCCTTGGCTGTCCTAGACTTACTTTGTAGACCAGGCTGGCCTCGAACTCACAGCAATCCTCCTGCCTCTGCCTCCCTGAGTTCGGGGATTACAGTTATGTGTCACCATGCCTGGCTGGAAGAAAGCTTTTCTATATAATAATAGCAAACTTCCTAAGAACTAAGGGGGCCAGAGATCCCACTGGCAATAGCTTCAAAAATATAAGGCTAAGGAGATAGCTCACTGGGTAAAATACATTCCAAACAAGCATGCATAGTAGAGTCAGGATCTTCATGGCCCACATAAATGTAGCACTCAGGAAACACAGACAGGAGATCTCCTAGGTAGATTAGTCAAATCAGTGAGCTCTTGATTCATGTGAGACCCTGCTCAACATAAAAGGTGGAAATCAACCAAGGAACAGACTCAACAAATAAATAAAATACCTAGGAGGAAATGTAACCACCAAGGAGGAGAAAAGTCCTACAATTAAACTTTTAAATGCTGAAGGCATTTTTAAAGGCCTTAGAAGGGAGAAATACCCCTCAGCCCAGGGCTACAGATCACCGGGGTTAATACTGTAAAGATGGCTATATCACAAAACCTATCTACAGGTTCAAAGCAATTCCTATAAAGATTCAAGTAGTGTTTCTTCCAAAAAATAGAAAAAAAAATCCTAAATTTCATATGGGTACCCAAAAGATTCCAAGCACACGCACAAAGCAATCCGGAGTAGAAAAATAAATGCTGGCAGCATCACAATGCCAGATTTCAAGCTATACTACAGAGCCACGGTAATAGAACAACCATGGTATTGGTACAAAAACAGGCACATAGAGCAATGGAATAGAATAGAGGACCCCAACATAAACCCACACAGTTACAGTGATTTTTTTAAATGCAGGCACCAAAAACATACCTTGAGGAAAGACAGTCTGCTTCAACAAATGGTCTGAGAAAACTGGATATCCACAAGTAGAAGGATGGAATTAGAGTTATCTTTCTTACCTGTACAGAAAGCAATTCAAAATGAATCAAAGACATTACATAAGAACTGAAATTCTTAAATTGCTAGAAGAAAATATCTTAAGACATAGGCATAGGCCAAAACTTTCTGTAAAGAATCCCACTAGCTAAGAAATAGAATCAAGAATTCACAAATGAGTTTTGCCTAAAGTTAAAAAAGAACCAATATACAAAGTGAACAGGCAGCTTACAGGAGGGAGCGAAAGTTTCTGCTAGCTATATGGAGTTTTATTATGGCAATGGAGTTTTATTATGTCATAAAGAAGAATGAAATTCTGTTATTTACAGGAAAATAGATGGTCTAGGGTCATTTTGTTAAGGGAAAAAGACAAATATTGCAGTTTTCTTCTCATATGTAGAATCCAGGGTTAAATGTGTGTGCATGTGTTTGTGTACATGTTTCACACAAATGTATAAAGGAAGATGACAGGAACCAGAGAGGGGGTGGGGGAACCAAAGAGAATAATGAGGGGTAGAGATGAGTAAACTATATGATAGGTGTGAGTAAAGATGTGATAATGAAACTCATTATTTTGCATGTTAGTGGTAATTTACAAATACAAATTTAGGGCTGGAGAACACATGTCTTGCATACATATGGTAGATATACTGCTTCAAATAAGGTAGATCACTGAAACTTCTAAGAAAACAAAAAAAAAAAAAAAAAAAAACGTTCCTTGGAATACCTGCAGGTATTATGCCCATCATTTTGTATTGCCAGGCTCTTGGAGGCTAACAATTAACAAACTATACTCATAGAAATGCCTGAAACCCCTGGAGAAAGCTGTAGTAGACAGATATAGATGAGGTGGAAGAGGGCAAGAAAAGAAAATAAATGATGTGCTCATTGTGCTGGCTAGTTTTATGTCAACTTGACACAAGCTGGAGTCACGTGGGAAGAAAGAAACCTCAGTTGAGAAAATGCTCCCACCAGATTGGTCTGTGGGAAAGCCTGTGGTGCACTTTCTTGATCAACGATTGATATGAGTAGGCCCAGTTCATTGTGGATGGGCCACCACTAGACTGGTGGGCATGGGTGCTATAATAAAGCAGGCTGAGCAAGCCAGTAAGCAACATTTCTCTAAGGCCTTTGCATCAACTACTGCCTCCAGGATTCTGCCCTGTTTGAGCTCTTGCCCTGGCTTCCTAGTATGATGGACTACAAGTAAAATGAAATAAAGCCTTCTTCATCAAGTTGTTTTTGGTTGCCGTGTTTTATCACAGAAATAGAAGCCCTACCTAAAACGCCCTCTATGTCTTAAATGTAGGCTGCCCTGCTGGCGTTCTGTCTTTGAAAAATTTGAAGGTTGGACACCTAAGGGTCAGATGCAGTGACGTTTTCAACTGTCCCTTTTATTTCTATAAAATAAATAGTATTATTTAGAAGCAGGCTTATGAACACGGTATTGGCTGCCGCTCTGAACCTGAGGGAGTACTCCTGATCTTAAGGTCATTTGTGGCAAATATTTGCTCAGTTCAGGATTAAGGGGCTCAGGGAACACGGGTCCATTGGCACTACAGCTTGAGTTCAGCAATCTGTCCAATCCAAAAGTACTTTTCCGGGAGCCAGGAAAGTCGAATGCCAACTGCATTCTTAACCTTTTTAAGTCTCTTGTCCTTCTGGATACTCTATTTGGCTGCCAGTTAAAATCATTTCCTCACCTTGAGTCCAGTCTTTGGGACTCTCCAAAGCCAATTCCCTGAAAGATCTTTGTTAAGCGATTTGCAGACCAGTCTGGGGCATGCTGACAGGATTGCACCCTGCTGGTGCCTCAATTTTCTCTGGCTTCGGCACAAAACTTCAGGGTAGTGTCAGGTCCAGAGTGAAGTTCACAGAACTTGACACAGAACAACTCAGCAACCAAGGAATATGAATGCCATTTATAAATGTAATGTTTTAAAAACTCAAAAACAATGCAAAAATCCTTGGATTATTAATGTTCAGAACTTTATATGAACAGGGAGCCCATCCTATATTAGCATGACCTTGATTCACGTGCCTCACTGTAATTCCAGTCCTGTGTCTCAATTTTCTTTGCCAAAAAAAAAGTGTCTGAACGAAATCTTAATACTCCAGTAGATATTTATCTCGATTCCTGAGGGTTGGGGAAGTTTTGTCTGCCTGGAGCGTCTTCACCCTAGGCCTGGGTTGTTTTTTGTTTGTTTGTTTTTCTTTTGGGCTCACTTACCCACGCCCTTCCTCCCCCATTCCCAGACACTTCTCAGGGTCTAGGTCGCAAGTTGTAAGTACTCCCAGCCACCGCCCCTTACTCTGGCCTAATCAGGCGCCAAGGGCAGGCGAGGCTGGGAGGGCGACCTCCCCAAGCTCCTCCCGTATGTCCTGAGCCACTCAGCAGCTAAGTCATTCTGCGCGCCTGAGCCGGGCGCCCGCCTCGGCCCGCCCCTTACGCCGGCAGCTCAGCGCCTGACTGCCACTATATAAGTCGGCCATTTGCTTTGCTCCGCCCCAGAGTCCGGGAGTCAAAGCCGGTTGTCCTCCCAGTCCAGTCCCGCAGTCTCCTGCCACTTCTTTTTTTCTTTCAACATGACAGATGCCGCTGTGTCTTTCGCCAAGGACTTCTTGGCTGGTGGAGTAGCCGCGGCCATCTCTAAGACGGCCGTAGCGCCCATCGAGCGGGTCAAGCTGCTGCTGCAGGTAGGTCCTGGGATCAGGGGGCCCAGGAAAGAAGTAAAGGACCCGCACAGAAAGGGGGTACCCTAGCCGGAAAATGAGACTCAGTCTTTAGATTTGGGGCAAGGTGAAGGCCGGGCCTGGCCACAGTATCAAACCGAAAGGCAAGCCGAAGGAAATAACCTTTAAGGACCTGGAGTTTGAGTGTGGCAAGTGGTCGGGGCCAGGGGGTGCTGAGGCGATCGAGGCCATCCCCAGCACAGAGAACTAGGATAGGGATACCGGGGAGACACTGTCTACCCGCGATTTAGAATCAAGAGCAATAGGCCCGAAAGCAGGCGCTGGAATACGGAACACCTGGCCTTACCGCAAATCTCAAGGTCACAGCAAGGAGATTATAGGTTTGGGCCAGCCACGCGGACCTGTTCCGTGGCCGCGCTGCCGGCGAACAACGCGGTGTAAGCTCCCCGGCCGGCAGGCCGGAAGTGGACGCTGGGAAGAGCATGTGCCAGCTACGTCCGCCCCCGCGCAGCCCCCTCGCCAGCCTTCCTGCGGCGCGCACGCTGCTCTCTGCGTCTAGGGGGCGCACGCGGGCAAAAGTTTAGTCGTCACCACCACCACCCTCCTCGACAGAAGTGGGGGTGGGGCGGAGAGGAAGGAGCTCAGAAGTTGACTATGTTCATCTAGGTGACTATGTCCTAAGCAGGTCCCACCCTAACGCTTCTGAACCTGACTTGGAGGAAATGACCTTTCTTCTTGGTCTAAAGGTCATAGGCCCACTTGAGATTGCTCCACTCACAGAGGTGGAGGCTTGCCACTTCTGATGGTGCAGATTAATTCTTACCCCCTGGGATTGTGTCAGCATTTAGGATTATCCAGCTTTTGTGGTTCTGAAAGCTAGCTTTGTAGAAAGGGGAACCAATCTTAAAGATTACGTGTGCATATTCTTTCCTTTTCACTTCTGTGGTTTAACTATCCCTATTGCCTTCTTCCTATCCATCAGGTGCAGCATGCCAGCAAGCAAATCACGGCAGATAAGCAATACAAGGGCATTATAGACTGTGTGGTTCGTATCCCCAAGGAGCAGGGAGTCCTGTCCTTCTGGCGTGGTAACCTGGCCAATGTCATCAGATACTTCCCCACCCAGGCTCTCAACTTTGCCTTCAAAGATAAATATAAGCAGATCTTTCTGGGTGGTGTGGACAAGAGGACCCAGTTTTGGCGCTACTTTGCAGGGAACCTGGCATCAGGTGGTGCCGCTGGGGCCACATCCTTGTGCTTTGTGTACCCCCTTGATTTTGCCCGTACCCGTCTAGCAGCTGACGTGGGAAAAGCTGGAGCTGAAAGGGAATTCAAAGGCCTTGGTGACTGCCTGGTTAAGATCTACAAATCTGATGGGATTAAGGGCCTGTACCAAGGCTTTAATGTGTCAGTACAGGGAATTATCATCTACCGAGCTGCCTACTTTGGTATCTATGACACTGCAAAGGGTAAGTCTGCATATGCTTAGAAGTTGGGGGAGCTTTGGGTATTTATTTCAGTGCTGGGAACTCAACCTAGGACCTCATGCATACTAATCCAATTGCTGAGCTGTATCTCCAAGCCCTAGGTTTTTTTTTGTCTTTTTTCTTTTCCTTTGAGACAGGGTCTCACTATGGAGACCAGTCTTCCAATTCACTGCCAGCCACCTGCCTCTGCCTCCTGAGTGCTAGGGTTAAAGGCATCTACCACCATGCCCAGCTCCTACTTTATTCCTTAAGATAGATCTCTATGTGGCTCAAGCTGAACTTAGATTCAAGGTCCTCCTGCCTTAGGTTCTCAAGTGCTAAGATTTTAAGCTTGAACCATCACACTAAGCTATAAAGCCAGTGATTTTTGGTTCACTTTTTCAAGACAGGGTTTCTCTGTAACAGCCCTGGCTGTCCTGGAACTCAAGTTTGCCTGCCTCTGCTTCCCAAGTGCTGGGATGAGAGATCATTGCACCAACCTAGCAAAATCCCAACATTTATTTTGTTTTTAATTGCTGAAGGAAGCCAAATTCTATCAGTGTAAAACTCATGGTAGATAAAAATGTTGTTTGGGTTTGGAAAGTAGGTCAGCAAAACTGCATTTCAATTTTTATATATATTTTTTTCTTGCTTTCAGGAATGCTTCCAGATCCCAAGAATACTCACATCTTTATCAGTTGGATGATTGCTCAGTCTGTCACTGCTGTTGCTGGCCTGACTTCCTATCCTTTCGACACGGTTCGCCGTCGTATGATGATGCAGTCAGGACGCAAAGGAAGTAAGTTCTGCTTGGGCATGAGGTAAAAAGTCATGAGCCTGGGGAATGATATGGCCACAAAAACAAGGGGTAGTCCCCTTTAAAAACTAGCCTGGGGCTAGAGATATATTTCAGTGGTAGGCTGCTAGCCCACCATATACAAGACCCTAGATTCAATCTCCACTGTCATTAAACACTATCATTGGTAGGTAGTTGACTGCACAGGTGCCTGTGAGCAACTAGCCTTTTACATGCCTAGGATTTGTGGTGCTTAAATTATAATAAGATGTCATCCCTGTTCTCTGATCACATGAATACTTAAGGATTGCCTGTGCTAATGTGTAAATGCTGGCTTTAAAACTGCTATTAAGTTTTTGGAAGAGCTCAGTAGTAGAGAACTTTTCTAGCATATACAAGGCCCAGGGTTCTGTCCTCAAGTGTAGCTAAAAAAAAAAAAAAAACTGAAATTGCTTTTTAAAGGTGTGGCTCTTTAGTGTTATGAATTTGGAGGCATTTTATGGCCTTTAGTCATCAACTACATGTCTTTATTCTTTGCAGCGGATATCATGTATACAGGCACGCTTGACTGCTGGCGGAAGATTGCTCGTGATGAAGGCGGCAAGGCTTTTTTCAAGGGCGCATGGTCCAATGTTCTCAGAGGCATGGGTGGTGCCTTTGTGCTTGTCTTGTATGATGAGATCAAGAAGTACACATAATTATGTTCTAGGTGTTCTCCCCGAGAACAGGCATGTTGTACAATACACCGTATCTTGAGCATTCTGGACAGACTCTCTGGGCCTGTCTGTTTTATCAGTGGCATCTATTGACCAGTTGAAAAATGGGAAGCAATAATACTCACCAGACCAGTTTTCTCTTAAAGCCATTTCCATAATGACAATAATGATGGGACTCAATTATATTTTTTATTTCAGTCACTCCTGATAATACAAATTGAAGAAATAAAAATATCTAAAAACGTTTGTTGTTCGTTTCCATATAAAAATTTGTGTGTGGGTCAGTACCGGGTTTGTCTATAACAGCCCTGGTTGTCCTGGAACTCACTCTGTAGACCACGCTGGCCTCAAACTCTGGAGAGGTACCTGCCTCTTCCTCCAGAGTGCTGGGATTGAAGGCATGTGCCACCGCTGCCTGGCTAAAAGAAAAATTGTCAGCAATCCATTTTTCAAGGGATAGCTTGGATGTGTGTGGTCAATTCACTAGCAAAATAAGATTTAGGAGCAGTGTATGTGTATCTCAATTTTTGTCCGTTACCTGTAGCCTTTCCTAGCTGCCTGAGCTCAGGTATCCTGTACCTGGTTTCCCATTCCTTTTTAAACAAGGACGATAAGCCAAGTTGTTGGCTTTCAAATGGCTGACATGAATATCACCTCCTTTAATTTTTTAAAAATAAAAGGTAGTCATAGTTGTCAGTTTTCAT